GGAAGGTGTGTGTTTAAACAAAGTTTTCACAGATCTTTTTCCCAGAAGAGTAGAAAAATGTGTATTTAAACGTTTTCACCGATTTTTCTCCATTAAGAATAGAAAGGCGTGTGTTTAGATAATATCATTTTTCTCCCACAAGAGTAAAAAGATGCGTATAAACAAAGTTATCGTGCTTCCACAAGAGTAGATAGATGCGTGTTTTAAAAACATGTGTTGTTATCTTAGTAGTTGAACTCATAAGAGCTGAAATGCCTCAAAATTGCAATTCTCGTGCAGCTGTTGAATGAATGAGATTTGGTAGCTATTCGATATAATCAATTACATTTATATTTCTATCAACTTAGAGTTATTCAAAGAAAACGAAACACATAAATTCCACATCCTTTTTAGAAATAAGTCTCTTGATTCTGGGCTGAGTGTGGCTTAGCGGTTAAGGTGCTTGACTGGAAATCCGAAGGTTCGAGATTCATAGTTCATTCCGCAAAATCACGCTTCACACTTTGGGGCCGTTATGCATTATAACAGTGACAGTCAAAATCTCACTACTTGATTCGCGTAGCCCAAGAATTGGTGGTGGGCGCTGTTGACTAAATGCTTTTCTTCTAGCTTATCAGTTCACAACTAGAAACGGTTAACGTAGATATTCGGAATAAACAAACAAACTATTGATTCTCTAGGTAAGATAATTACAGACTACTCTTTAAATATGCTAACGTAAGTGTAAGATTCATGTGAAATACAAAGTTTTACAATTTTCAGTATGACAGTATAGTCTAATTTTTGGAAAATGTCAAAAGCATTAATTTCTTTTTTTTTTTAGGTTCTAGTTTTTGGCATTTTAAAGAAATGTTTATTGAATACTCCTAGATATACTTATAACAAACTGGCGTATTAGAAGTTAACTAAACAACGAACAATTTAATCAAAATTTCGAGTGTGAAAAGAGAAGACTTCCATTTTCTGGTTCTACTTCATTAATCTAATAAACCCGGTATTAGCTGAAGAAGATCAGAACACGTGTAAAGATCATCAGGGTTTCAAATAAGACATTTACTTTCTACCCGGCAAATCAACGAACCAGCTAATCAAATTCTATCAGTTCAATTTACAAACCTCAAAATTCCCACAAACCACCCACCACCACACACTTCCTCACATATCTGTAATACACAAAATTATTTCGTTCGGGACGTCCCTAGCCATCATTCTTTAATCATTAAAACCTCCATCAATATTAAGATTTTAACAATTACCGTACTTAAGAATTTAAACAGTTCATTAGCGTGAATTCGTCAGGTGTGGTTTATTCCGAGTGATATACTACAAAACACCACAAATTGATCTATCGTATTTTTCGGTGTATAATACGCACTTTTTTACCCCCAACTTTGATGTCAAAATCTGCTTGCGTCCTATACACCGAAGGTATGAATAATATATATGTATGTATATATACGATATACACAAGCCATGTGTAAATATATTTAAATAGGCATGCATAGTTTAGTTCAATTGAATGTGTTATTTATAACAATAGTAGTTTCTTTTTTCTTTTAAAAACATAACTATTTATAATGCTCCCTAAGTAATAAAAAACTAAATTACAGTGAAAGCAATGAAGATTTTGTAGGTTTGAACCAAACTAAATAACAGTAAACCTTTTTTTGAATTACGTTATTTTCTTATTTTGATGTTTTGAGCTCTTTTGGGTTTAGAACAATATATACTAATTTTTAAAGTATCAAATTGAATTTTTTTTCAATAAAAATCTTTCAAATGTGACTGTAGCTTTTTTCCCCAAAACTTTAT